TGCTCACGGCGGCCGGCCAATGGGCGCGGCGGGAGGACCCAGTCCGGCCAATGGGCACGCCACTCGGCCCCGGGGGCGGGAGGTCCCGGGACCGGGCGGGGCGGGCTCCCGACCCCCTCCTCCCAGTCCCGGCGCCGCGCTGGGGTTTTGGGCCCCCATTCGGTCCTCGAGTCGGTGATGGAGGCTCCTTCTCTCCCTCGCGCGGGAAGTCAGGAAGTCAGAGAGCCGAAGACTTGTTGTCGCGCCAGGGCCGGGACGGCCGGTGGAGGGGAGAGGAGAGAGCTGGAGCGCACGCCTCCCCTTCGCTCCGCCGCCTGTCAGTCCCTCCCCCAGCCTTCTCTTGACCCCCCAGCCCCCAGCGCCTTCCGCCCTGGCCTCTCCTGTCTCCAAGTCCTCCAGCCCAGGGGTCCTGGGTCCCTGCCTCGGCCGGCCCGCCGACTGGAGCCCGAGCTACTAAACTCACCTAACGCATAAAGAGCCCTTCCCACCCGCAGTTGGGGAGACCACTGGACCTGCAGGGCAGCGCACATCTGCGGAGGCAGTTTTTTCTTTGTGCCACCTGATACCCATCGCAGGTGACCGCTTTTAACTGGGCTGCTGGGCGTGCTCTGAGTGGCTGTGTGCTAGGATCATTGCAACCACCTGGTTCTGGCGGATGCAGTGCGCTGGAGGACCCAGCTCCTAAGTGGTGCAGGCCCTCAATTGAGATGCCAGGATCTGTTCAAGCTCAGTCTTCGGACTTTTCAATGAAATTCTTCTGCTTGAAACTACTGTCCACCCACTTGTTTTCTTAGCCTGGAGGTGTACATTAGGAGTGTGCTGGGCCTCAAAGAGGCCGGCCCAGCACTCTGGCGCCCTGTTAATTAACCCCTCAACTGGGCATACGGTGGGATGGTTGCTAGGTTTAAGGTTGTGTGTAGTGTGTATATTTGTAGTTCCCCTGCACCTGGGCTGAGGACCTGATGTGCCAGATTCTGGGCTGGGTGCTGGTGGTCATGGAGGCTAAAGGTGAGCCCATGAGTGTCTGCATTCTTGCAGGCCCCAGTGACTAGGGAGCTGAGTGCCTGTGGGGATGTGGTTTGACAACAGAGCCACCCTCTTCTCCGTGGTGCTCTTCTGCATCATGTGCTGCATATAAGCACCTACAAGTGCCTGAATAACGGAAAGTGCCCGCTTAGCATAAATTTATGTTAACTTTACGACCATTTGTCACGGACACTTGTGATGATAAAGTTCAGTTTTCAAAAATGCATACCAAATTCTATCATTTTAGGAGCCTGGGCCTACCAATTACGCCCAAGAAATAACAGGAAGGCAGGGCGTCAGCTGCATTTTAGAATAACGTGGTGTACAAGGTTAGCCCTTCACCGAGGGTCGTCACTTCAGTCAGGGTATTAGAAAGAAAGATGGCGGAGGCAGAGGAGGGGGCGCAGCAGTCAGCTCCCAACAGACAGCCGCCTGCTCTGGGGAGGTAGAGGGCGGGGCCAGCCACGCGGAGCTGGAGGCTCCGCCCCCAAGGGTGCCCCGCCCTCAGAGCCTAGGCGCCTGCGCCAGCTGCCCCAGGCGGGCCCAGCCTTACAGAGCATGCGCATGATTGGAGCATCTGATTGGCGGAGCCGACAACAGCTCTGAGTCCAGGTCAACTTCCGCTACCGACTCCTGCTTGGCTGAGCAGTGGTGCGCTGCGGGGATCGCAGGTGGGCCAGGCAGCGGCACGCGCTGACAGACGGCTAGGGCGGCCTCAGCTGCCCCAGCGCACTAGTCTCGCCCGGTTCCGCCCGTAACCTTTCTGCACGGTTTCGGTCGAGCATGTTCAGGGCCCAGGTGAGGCGAGTCCTGCGGCAGGTTCCCGGGAAACAGCGATTCGGCATCTACAGGTTCCTGCCCTTCTTTTTTGTCCTGGGAGGAACGATGGAGTGGATCATGATTAAAGTGCGCGTGGGCCAGGAGACCTTCTGTAAGTGGGGGTGACGCAGCCTCCGTTTCTCCCGGGGTATTAGATTACAGACCGCTGATGACATCCGGCGCCGATCTGCACTCACTCTTGCTCGGAGGACAGCTGCACTTCTGTTCATTTGGCAGTTTGGGTGCTGCATCGGCTGGAGGACCTTGGGGCTCCTGTGTTTTGCTCTCACTGGCGATCAGCCTTTCCCTGCACTTTAGGAGGGCACGTGGCTCCAGTCAGGCTGTCGTCCTTGGCCCTTGCCGGTGACATTGGACCTAAGGATTCCACAGCAGCGGAAGACGGGCTAGGAGTCGTAGAAATTCCTGTCAACTGATAGGCCCCTCGAGCTCTTTAGCTCAAACTCTGCAGGGCGCTGGTCTGCCTGGTTTAGCCAATTCCCACCACCCCTTCAGGCAGTTATAGCACAATGTTCTTGGCTTGGGATCGGATGCCCAGCACCGTGAAAGGAATGGCATTTTTGAGCACTGCCTCTGGCTGCCAGTGCCTCTCAGGTTTTCTCCCTACCCCTGGGCCCTGTTTTGCCTCTCCTGAAACTTTATGATAATGTGGATCTCATTTTTATTACGTCAGTGTTCCCATTTCTCTCTCTAAGCTTTTGTTTCCCAGGGTGGCCTTGATTCCTCAAATTTGCAGCCATCTTGCCTCAACCTCCCAAGTGCTGGTATTACAGGCATGGGCTACCACACCCAGTGACTCCAATATTTAGTGTTCCGTTCATAAGAGGATCAAATAAACAAGGCAAAGTGTTCTCTATTCCAGTCCCAGAGGGGCTGATGGGAACAAGGCCGGGTTGTAGTTTGGGCGTAGAGCACTTGAGTCAGCTAGGAAAGACAAGGGCCAAAGAACTCTGGAAGTTGGTGAGCTCCAAGAACAGGAAGGCTAGGCAGGCTGAACAGCAGAAGCTGCAGTCTGAACAGAATTCTTTCCATGGAACACTCCAGTTAAGTGACTGAAGACAAAAGGGGGCTGGCACTTTGTCCCAACAGTAGGGGTGGTACCTCTAAAAAAAACACAGGGCCGGGTATGGCGGCTCACACCTTTAATCCCAGCATTTGGGAGGCAGAGGCAGGTAGATCTCTTTGAGTTCAAGGCCAGCCTGGTCTACATAGTGCGTTGCAGGCCAGCTGCGGCTACAGGGAGACCCTGTTTCAAAAAGACCAAAAAGAAAAAATAAGAAAAAGGCACAGGATGAGGCAAGCAGCCTGAGCTAGAGGCTGGTGTTTTCATCTTCGATCTGGGAAACACACTGCCCGAGTCTACCGATCTCTCTGTAAGGACCCCCTTCAACCCTTGGGATTATTCTTGTCCAGATCTGTAAGCACAGAATGGTAAGATGGTGGCAATCAAGTAACATAATCACTGAAGGAAGAGGATTATTTTCTTTTTAAAGGAAGACGTTTGTTTTTTACATGAGGGTAGAAAATCAGTAGTCTGGAAAAACAGCAGCTGAGAACAAGGAAAATGACTTTCCCTCCTACTCTGAGGATTTTGGTGTGGGAAAGAGCTGCAGAGCATTCTGGCGAAAGGGACATCTGGGTCTTAGTTAAGGACGAGAGGAAAGAGGTACACTAGGACGTGATCTCTGAGGACACTGATGGTTACCCTGCTATTTAAAGTTAAGACTCCACCAACATAACCCTCATTTCAACTGTTTTACTTTAAACTCTTTATTCTGGGGCTGGAGAGTTGGCTCAGTGGTTAAGAGCACTGACTGCTCTTGCAGAGGACCCGGGTTCGATTCCCAGCACCCACATGGCAGCTACGAACCGTCCTCTCTAGTTCCAGGGGAATCCAAAGCCCTCTTCTGACCTCTGCGGCATTGCATGACACGGGTGCGCTCATGTACATGCAAGGCAATACTCATACACATAAAAAAAACCCCAAACCTCTTTATTTTGCCACTGAGTTAAACATTAAGATTCAGAAAGTCTAGACAGACTACTGGTTGGATTATTCTAATGTGTATTTTGTTTGTAGACCTTGCTGATCATTATTTGCAGTGACTGGGCTAGGGCTTTCTCATACTAGGCAAGCACCCTACCACTGACCTAGACCCCCAGCCTCTATTTTTTAAATTCCTTAGTCTAAAACCAAAAAAATCTAAGCAAAATTTTTGTTTGACACAGATGACGTCTACCGTAGAAAAGCGTCAGAAAGACAGTATCAGAAAAGGCTGGAAGATGCATCAGACTGAACGTCAAAAACTAATAAATGTATTCAATATTGGTTTCAGCTGTTTTTTTTTTTTTTTTTTTTTTTTTTGAGAAAAGGTCTCACTCTCTAGCCCAGGCTGTCCTTGAACTCATGGAAATCCCTGCTTCAGCCTTCTCACCACAAAAAATGCTGTTTTCCGAATTCATGTTCTTGCTGTTCTTTAGTGACTTTGTATTAAATTGGCATTACCTCTATATAGAATCCCATAGTTCTACAATCTGCTTGAATAGTTCCCAAGTCACAATTGGATATTGGATATGATCTGCAAGAAAATTCTAAATACCCATTGTGTCTCGTCCATGAGCTATTGAAATAGGATCGATTTTTTTTTTCTTTCTTTCTTTTTGAGACAGGGTCTCTCTGTTGCCCCAGCTGTCCTGGATCTTACTATGCACACCAGGCTGGCCTTGAACATAAGAGATCTCCTAGCCCCTGCCTCCCAAGTGCTGGGATTAAAGGCATGTGCCACTATGCCCAGCTCGAGGCTTTCCGTTTTTTTTTTTTTTTTTTTTTGGCTTTCTGTTTTTATAAAACAAATTATAATCTTAACTGTTTCGCACAATTTAAACCATGGACATAAAAGATCTCCTTTACAAGATCATCTTAACTAAGATAAACTATGCAGGGTATATTTCTGCCCCCTTTTGTTGGAGTAATGGGAATTCCTTGCTCACTGCACACTTCGGCAAGTGCTCTTGTGTGGGACTTCATGATTCATGTCCTTTATGATGAAAATGCTTTTAAATACCTGTTAAAGATGAAAAGCTAATTTACACAGTCCAACCACAGATTTAAGCAAAATCAGAGGCACAGTCTACTAAAGGCAATCTAACTCCACTGTAAGTTTGAATCCCTATTAGAAAGAAATGCAGGCATCTACATACTTGGATAATTAGACCCAACATGTTTTCAAACAAAATTATCTACATTCTAAAGACAGTTTCAAACTATTATGAAGAACAAGCTGATGCTCAAAGTCACTGGGTATCTTCATCTCTGCCATAAACATATCTCCTAGTTGAGTATACAACACTGCAATCCCAGCCAGCACTTGTGAGGTGGAGATAGGAGGATCAGGAGTTCAAGGTTAGCCTGGGCTACATGAGACCCTGTCTTGAAAAAAAAAAACTAGCCAGAAAGCCTTCCTAATTTTTTCTAGAGCTTTTCCTATTCAAGTTTGTCTGTGTTAGGATCAATTTAGAGTAAATAAAGTCCTATCTGCTCAGATTTCAGAGGAGTACTTATACCAAGTTCAGCTCATTGTTGGGAGGTGGCTTGAGGATGAAGCCTAGCAATGACCATCACCAGGGGGAGTAGTTGCTGCACCATAATCTACATTTACCCAGTTGTCATTTAGTTAGGACCTAACCTTAGAGACACTTGATAGTGATTCATCTGCTGTACAAGAAGTTGTAAGTGGTCTGTGGCACAGCACCAGCTGAAGCCCAGTGCAGAGTAGGGGTGGAGTGGTATGATTTTTTTAAAAAATTTTATTTTTATGAGTGTATTGCCTACATGTGTTTAAGTGGACCTATGTCATACAATGCCTGTGGAGATCAGAAGAGGGCATTGGATCCCCTGGAACTGGAATTATGGACCATTGTTCCCCACCATGTGGGTGCTGGGAACCAAACACAGGTTCTCTGTAAGAGCAGCCAATGCTCTTAACCACTAAGCCATCTCTCCAGCCCCATGGTATGAGTCTTAAAATATTATTTTGTCTTTTTGAGACAGGGTCTCCCTGTAGCCCCAGCTGTCCTGGAACTCACTATATAGATCAGGCTGGCCTTGAACTCACAAAGATCCACTTGCTTCTGCCTCCCAAGTGCTAGGATTAAAGCTAGCCACGATGCCCAGCTATTATTTTTTATTTATGTATATGAGTGTGTTTCCCTGCACATGTGTAAGTGCACCCATGTCGTACAATGCCTGAGGAGGTCAGAAGAAGGTGTTGGATCTGGAGTTATGGATGGCTATTAGCTGACATGTGAGCACTGGGAATCAAACCCAGATCCTTTGCAAGAGCAGCCAGTTCTCTTAACTACTGAGCCACCTCTCCAGTCCCATGTTTGAATTTTTCTTTTCTCTTTTTTTTTGGTCTTTTTAAGACTGTCTCCCTGTAGCCCCAGCAGGCCTGGAACTCACTATGTAGACCAGTCTGGCCTCGGAATTCACAGAGATCCGCCTACCTCTGCCTCCGAATGCTGGGATTAAAGGCGAGCGCTGCCATGCCCAGCTGAATTTTTTTAATTTTTAAAATTTATTATTTTTTGCCGGGTGTGGTGGTGCATGCCTTTAATCCCAGCACTTGGGAGGCAGAGGCAGGTGGATCTCTGTGAGTTCCGAGCCAGACTGGTCTACATAGCGAGCTCCAGGACAGCTGGGGCTACAGGGAGACTCTACCTCAAAAAAAAAAAAACCAAAAAAAAATTATTATTTTTATGTTGTATAAGTGTTCGAATGTCATGCAGGGCCCATGGAGGTCAGAAGGCGTTGGATTCCCTTGGAACTGGAGTTACTGACAGTTGTTAGCTGCCATGTGGGTGCTGGGAATCAAACCCGGGTCCTTTGCAAGAGCAGCCAGTGAGTGCTCTTAACCTCTGAGCCATCTCTCCAGCCCCTCCATGTTTGAATTTTTCACACTGAGTTTCTTCGTAAGAAAAGTGTACATTTGGACTGGAGTGTTTTCCAAAGCGAACCTCCTCTCAAACGAGTATTAAAGGTTTGGACTTTACGCACATACTAAATTTGGAATGTTTTGCTACATTTATGTACAGTCCCCAAGACAATAATACATAATATCTGAAAGAGGGGAAAGGAATAGTCTGTTAATTTGTTCAGTACTGATTTTAGTCAGCCGACCCAGCATACTTCCAAACCGAAAATGAACAGAAATATTTAGCAATATTTGTTTGCTTACAGTGCTTGGGTGGGGCGGGCATACATCAGTGATCCTTCAAAATATGCTAATGGGCACAGGTGGCATGCGTCCTTACAGTCTCAGAACAGAACCACAGGGATTTGCAAAGTGCTATTAGAGGAAAATATTTGGCTGATTTTGCCATCATTTTCTATTAAAAGCACAGGTGTTTTAAGAACTTGTAAACATGTTAAAGGACACATTTGGGCCACCCATCTTATGATCACTGATGAGCTATTTGGAATGTGTTACTCTGCTTTCTGGTGGAGGATATCCTTACCTTCTATCCTCAGTAACTTGCTATTCCATTTTAACTTAAACCTGTGTTTTGTTTCTGCCCATGTTGCCCAACCTGAAGACATGTTAGGAATTCCTTGACTGCCTGCGTGAGGGGTGCAGGGCACTTCAGGCTGTAACTGGGCATGTGCACATTGACTTCTACCCAGATCAGAAGAGCCTTCTTCCTGAAACTGCAGCCCTAGCCTCTTCAGCATGAAATGAGGGCTTCTGGGAGTCTGCTTCAGTCAGTTCAAAACTAACAATTGACACAGCTTTAACAGAACCACCAAACCTAGCTAATCCAAATCACTTTGCAAACTTTTTATTTGGATTAAAAAGCTTTAGAGGAACAAACATATCATACATACACATTGTAAGACTAGTTACCACTTAAACTTCAGATGATGATATAATACAGAAATTAAAATAAACCAAATTTTAATTAGGTCTGGAAACGTTCGAAGTTGTAACACCAATTTGGGGATTTTAAATAAGCGTTGCCATCTCCCTCCCCCAGCCCCCCCATTCTTTCTCATAGAAATAGGAAGCCAGGTTAAATAAAACCAAGATGGTTTAAACAGTTAGCTGACATTCTATTTTAAACCTGTAGGTCTTTCCCTGCTCCCAATATAAACAAAATTCTTCTCCACAGGAACTTAACATTTTGAAAACAATAAGGTTATTATATTTTCCAAGCCATACTACTATAGTTCCTAAAAGTCATGGGAAAAAAGCAAATGGTTTACTTGTATTTTAAGTCGGGACTTTTTTTCTTTCTTTTTTGGAAGATGGTGATCTCAAATCTTGTATCCTAAATATTAACTAATATTCTCAAAGTTAGCATTTAGAAAAGCATAATTCTAAAATAAAGTGTCTTTTTTTTTTTTTTTTTTTTTTTTTATTAAATTTAATGGGGGCCCGCCTTGGCGCCCCCTGGTGTGGCTAAAACCCCCTTTAAGGGCGCGGGGCGGTGCCCTGGTTTCCTCACCGCCCACAGACAGGCAAAAAGGCACCCTGTGCTGGCTATACACTGCCTTAAGGAGCCTGAGGCTGGCTCCTGGTTCCTACAGCACCAAGGTAATGGGAAGAGCCTGGAGGAGGAGTGTTCTGGCTTCGAGTGCTCCTGAGGCTGATGGTGAAGTTTCTAGAGGCCCCCAAAAGGAAGTCTCATCCAGACCTTTAAAAAGGGAAATTAAATGAATGCATGAAATAAATAAATAATTTAACCAAAATTAAGTTTTGGGTTCTTTGGTGCCATTCAAGGATGCCTAGAAAGGAAAAGAATCTGATTGCATTATACAGTCCATGATGAGTCAATGGTCCGAATAACCACGAGTTGAAGATTTATTTGATTCAGCTTAACAATAAGGTACTGACATACTACTGCAGTACATTTTTAAAAATTTTAAGTTATTTAAAATTCTTGATGAAAATTGAGATCCAGTAGCTGACTAATGGCAATTAAAGTTATAAAGACCTCCGTATTTAAAGAAGATACAAGGGACTTTTCACTCTATATGCTTTTGCTCTCATGATTAACATGGCAGTTAGACATACTGCCATACATTTTTAAAAGGAAAAAAAGTATCCTTTGAGAATCATTCTCAGTGAATAGCAGTACAAGCAACAGCACAACACAAGCACCCTGTTACAATAAAGCAGGTTTCAAAAAACGTACCATCATGTGAAATGTTCCATGTTTGTAGTTTCCTACCATCTGAATACCATATACTGCCTCCAAGTGTTTATTCTAGGGCTATGTGAGAAAGAGATGGGTTGCAGGGTGTGGTGTCCATACCTTTAATTCCAGCACTTGGAAGGCAGAGGCAGGAGGATCTCTGTGAGTCTGAGGCTAGCCTGGCCTATATTGTGAGTTCCAAGGCCAGCCAGGGCTACATAGTGAGACCATGTCTCAGACAGGGTCACCAAATCCAAGTATTTAGGACCTGTAATGGTCTTTTTAGTTAATGTTTTCTTAAATTATGATTCCCTTCTCCTATAATCAAAAGCACAAGCTACATTTAAAAACATTTTAGAAAGTATTTCTGGTTGAGAATTACAACCCTGAAAATTAGAAAAAAAATACCACAACTGATAACAAGGAAATAAAGCATCCAAAACATCTACCCTTGCATAATTTTGCTCAAGACAGTTTGTACCCATTTACACTTTTTCTTAGATTAGGTGTTATGCTTAACATAAACTACCTCCATGTACACCTCAATACTTTATGATGAACTTCAGTGTTTTTCAATGTAACAGATTTAAAATTTCAAACCATATAACATGTATTTGCACAAACTGAATTAATCACAAGCAGATCAAAAGTACTCTTAAACTTACCTGCCAAGACTAAATAGAATTCAGAGCTGAGCACAAGTTCTGCAAAAATCACTGACAACACAAGACATCTAACTTAGCACAAGAAAAATTACTCTTTCCCTCCAGTTATCCAGAGGGTATGCTGGCTGCAGATGGACATACAGCACTGACTTTACATTTCTGCAGTGAGCCTCTGAGTTATCCAACAGATGTGCATGTCTGTCACACATCTATAATCTAAACAGCCTTGCAAAGCACTGCACTTTACCTGTAAGAAATAGCTTTTTCATATATTCAGGCTTATGAAACACACACACGCACACACACACACACACACACACACACACACACACACACACACACACACACACATACACACACTCTCTAGGATGTAAACTAGGACCAATTTCACATTTCACTGTCAAATTATCAATAACCTTTTTCTTCATTGTTTTTCCATATACATATGAAAACCAAAAACAAAACTCCAAGCCAAGCCAAAACCTTTGATGGTCTAAGTTCCTTAACAAGTAAAAGATAAACTATGTCTATATATATAACCAATTATGAAACTGGTTTTTAACAAAGGAAACATATGCAAAAAAACTTTGTGTATTTGATAGTCAACTTAATATAACAAAACCAAATTGAAATAGCTTATTAAAAGTGTCCTTATATAAAAATGGCCTTGTGATGTACAGTAAAATGCAATAAAAATTATCCTTTGCTCCTTCCCTCCCACCCCCAGTAACTAAAATGGCTACTGTTCCACAACTCTTTTGCTTCTATAAAAGAAACATAATGATGTGATCAAACATTTTCGAGGTTGTATGCTTGTCGAATGTTGAGAGTATCTCGAAGCATTAAATCCCGCAGGCGCCAGAGGGCATCTGCCATGGTGGTGTGTGCCCCTTTACTTTTGAGCCAGTGAGAGGGCAGGCGGCTCTCCTGTTCTTTTGACAAATGGACATCCCGTCTTCGAGCTGAAAATTGGGAGTACAGAGAAACAGACATTGGAATTTTAAACTGACAAAATGTCCCTCAATTTTAAGGGCTGATGTTTATTAAAACAATATTTATTAAAGTTACAAATACAAGCTACAGAACAGCCAAGCAAATTTCTTAATTTCTGACCATTAACATTTTATTGTAGGCACCTCTGATACTAATAGTTATTTCAATGTTAGTAAAATGCCTAAAGAAGAAAATATGGGAAGAAAGTGGAAACACAGTAACACGGTTTATTCTTTCTCCCTCTAGGAGACGGGGTCTCATATGGCCTGGAACTTGCTATATATACAGGGCTGGCCTTGAACTCACAGAGATCTGCCTTTCTCTGCCTCGTGAGTACTGGGATTAAAGGGCTGTGTCACCACAGTGAGTCCATATTCTATTTTTTTTAAATATTTATTTTTATTTTATGTGTATGAATGTATTGCCTGCATATCTGTGAGTGCACCCGTGTCATGCAATGCTGTGAAGGTCAGAAGAGGGCTTCGGATTCCCCTGGAACTGGAGTTAAGGACGGTTCGTAGCTGCCATGTGGGTGCTAGGAAGTGAACCCAGGTCCTCTGCAAGAGCAGTTGGTGCTCTTAACTGCTGAGCCATCTCTCTAGCCCCCATATTCTATTCTTTTAAAAAAATCACTAAATTTGGTTTTGAAATTAATAAGAGCTGGGTATGGGGGCACACACCTGTGATCCATACTAAGGAGGCTGAGGAAGGAGTACTGCAAATTCAAGTATAGCCTGGGATACAGTGATATCCAGTCCAGGTTAGCCTTGGCTGCATAATGAGACCCCATCTCACAACACCAAACCAAACATGCAAACAAAAATGAAAAGGGCCAGGGAGATGGCTCAATGTGTGAAAGTGCTAGTTGTGCAAGCCTGATGACCAGACTGTCCCTGGAATCCATATAAAAAGCTAGATGTGGTGCACAGCAGTATTCCAGCCCTCCTACAGTGAGACAGGAGAACTGCCCAGCTATCGTGGAGTAAGCAATGCAGGAGCAGAAACGAGGTAGAAGGTGAGAAGAAAACTCCTAAAAGTTGTCCTCTGACCTCCATGAGCACCACATTCACATCCACACAAATAAATAATGCTCAATTATCTGAAGAAAACAAAAAACTAAAAAAACAAAACAAACAATACATTTGAAAAGGTGGTAGTATAAGACTGAGGTCTGAATTTTGGCTAAAAAGCCCATTTTCACTGTGTCAACATGTAAAGAAGCCCCAACACATTCTATAAAGCATATAATTAATTTTAATGGTATAAGAAAAAGGCATTGTTTGTTGTAGAAAATCAACAATGGTGAGAGGTCTGGGAAGGAAGCAAGTATTTTCACCAAGACACTCCTTACCTGCTAGGGTTTGGTCCCACTTGCTGATGCTGTTGGATTCAGCACTGAGTCCTTCGATATATTTCAGGTAGGCTTCTGAGTGGAGAAGCCTTTGGGTCTTCGGTGGGGGAGCCACAAACATGGGTGTTGTTGGCTGCTGTATGACAGGGGGGCCAGTTGGATGAGGGCCTGGATATGGAGGTGGTGCCTGCTGCCCTGGAGGCCCCAAAACTCCTACCTGAAAGAGCACGGGGATTATATAATAAGGCAAAAAGATGTTCTGAGAAGGCAGATGACTAGCAATCTGTTGGGTCCCAGGAAAAGCAAACTAGGAGGCTTACCTGCTGTCCATATGGACTTCCACCTGGTGCTGGAGTCCCTACCATAGGGGCCACTCCTTGGTTCATCACACCTATAATTCAAAATGCAATGGCACAATTAGAGGTTCTGGGTTCAGCTGACTGAAAAACTGACAAGAGATGATGCCATTTATAATGCCGACCTTTGTGCCCTGAAGTGTGGATAGGAATCCTAAACACCCCAAACAGAATCCAACTGAGAAACTTATAACCTTTTGTTTCTTAAGTATTTAAAGCATATGCTAGTGCAGTTTGTCAGAGGTACATCAATTATTCCCAGCCTAGAATGATTTAAATCCCGCACAAAATACTAGTATTTCCCTAAGTGAGCCTTAGTCAGAATAACACTTTTTGTTTCCAAGGTAATTTTTTTCAACCATACATTCTCCTGAATTGGAGTGTTGAATTTCAGCAGCCATGTCATTGGAATCAGGCTCAGCAGTAAGCAATGTACAGGGACACAGAGAAGGGCTGACAAAGTGCAGTTAACTGAACTTTGTGGAGGCTGGAGGTACTGTCTTAATGTCCCCTTGCAGGCCACCTTGTTCTACCTGGAGGTACTAATGTTGGAGAGAAGACATTTCAGTGGATGGTGTAGGGAGTAGCCTTTTTGCTGTCACCTCAGATGCTGAATGACAAAGGAAAGACAAAGACTTCATGGCCCTGCCCTCTGGTAAGAGTTTAGTAAACCTTCCTTGGTAATTGTCTCACAGGCACTAGCTGATAGCAATGCTGTCCTAATCTGAGCATCCAAGGGAATTTTTTAATTGCAAAGCTATCCTTTCCTCTTCTAATAAAACAGAAAATAGGCAAGGGACTCAGTTCACTGAAATTAAACCATAAACAAAACCATTTTAAAGCTGTTCTTTAAAGTTTAGGTCCTGCTGGTTAATTCAGAAGGATCAAGAACTAGGTTCCCAGTCTACTGTTCTTCTGTTTAAAAACGCTGATGTTATGCCAGATGTGCTAGCTCATACCTGTAATCTAGCACTGGGAAGGCTGAAGTAGGAGGACTGCTATGAGTCTGAAGGGTCAGCCTGAGCTAAAATGAGACTATATCACTCTTCGCTTCGCCCAAGGCTGGTATTGTGACACAGAAATAGCTTATTCTATGGTTCAGAGTTTTTGAGTACCACTTCAGAAGTGCTAGGCATCTTATTTGTTAGAGAAAAATAAGTAAAAACAAGCTTCTGCTTAAAAAGTAGGAATTTTTACATGCCAAGTACTTGGAAATATAACTGAATCACCACAGTAGTACCCTGACTTGTGAATGCATGAAGAGAGAGTGGAAGGTAAGCTGCTGCTTTGACAACACATTACTAGCCCACAGCCCTTACTCCCTCCAAGGTCACTCATCCACCTTAGACTCTGTAGACAGGGAGGCTCCCTAAGCTGGCTGTCACTGCTTTGCATAACAGTGCAAACAAATCAGCAAACCCCTCTACTTCCCGTTTACAAGTGTCATACCAGTGGCAACCAGGAGAACATGAGCTGAGACAACAGAGGATCCCCTGTACCTTGGATTCCTCAAAGCCATATTAGATGTGTTTGAACATATCAAGAATTCTTGTCTCCCTGACTATAGTCAGGTATACTGTGCTTTCTTCAAATGCAATTGGGTTCTGTAGGGAAAAGCGAGGATAACAATGTCCCATACCCACCAAAACCCTGCTACTATGGGGGTAGGGAAAAGGGAGGATAACAATGTCCCATACCCACCAAAACCCTGCTACTATGGGGGTAGGTGGGTACTGGTCTTAAACCAGTCTCTTATCTTATACTACATGCATTTAGTGGGTGTCAACTCCAACAAAGGCTTACGGACTCAAGATGACAAGGTGTGAGGGCACAGAATTAGAGCCAAGTTCATTTGCCACATGAAACAACTATTTTATGATGGATTCCTGTTGCCAGAGCATTTCATATGAGTCACTATTTCCAGCATGAGGCACTAACACCACCTTTCTTCCTTGGGGAACATTTGGAAAAATGCTTTGGTGGAGTACCATTCCCTAAGGAACACTCAAACGGTATTGCTAAACAGCATGCATGCAATGTATGCCTGTAGTCCCTGCACTTGGGGAGGTAAGGCAGGAAGATCTTGAGTTCCAGGCCAGCCTTGGCTACACAGGGAGATCCTATCTTTAAAAAAAAAAAAGTGTGGTGAAATCTGTTAGGGTCAGTTTGTTCCCCTTACAGTACCCTGCTGGGTCACCCCTCTGGAAGCATTTTTGAAACCATGTAGAACCCCGTGATCAGTAGGTCCAACCCTAATGTAAGCAAACCTAACAGGTTCCAGTCACATTTTACCTGGGCCGGACCTCTAAGATGACATTTTAGTAATAGAGAATTGCTCCAAGCCATCTAAAGGTCATAGTCCCTCTAACTAGATTATAGCACAAAGTAAGTTCTTTTGCATATGATAACAATTATTTTGGAAACCTGTGATTTGCCATTATATTTTCTTTAAAGTAGTTTTTCAACTTGTTAATTCATTATAAAGTAAAAACAATGTAGTTGTTCCTGGACTCTATTTATATATTTCTGCATCAAAGAACTTGTGAGCTTCTGCTGACAGATGTGTCTACAGCCAACAGGAATTGGGGGGGGGGCAGGCTATTCTTTAAAATGTTATTTTATGGCCAGGTGTGGTGTGCCATCTTTAATCCCAGCATTTGGGGGGGGGCACACAGGTGGGTCTCTGTGAGACTGAGGTCAGCCTGGTCTACATGATAAGTTCCAGGGCAGCTGGGGCTACAGGGAGACCCTGTTTCAAAAAAAACCGTTATGGTCATGCTTCTTAGGGGTTTCAGATATATAAGAATAATCCAAATGCAAATTTTCTCCCTTCCTACTTTTTGTTCCAAAGACAAAGTGAAGGATTTCTGAAAAGTTTCCTAATGCTGATCTGTGATCCCTTAGAGGGGCTGTTGAGGAGAATGGAGCAGGGAATCTACAATGAAGACCTTGTGAGATAAGAATGGGACCAGGTGAATAAATGCACTTGGGGCAAAAGTACTTTTATGTATGATTCTGAACTGCCAATTCACTGATACGAGGGTGTGGCCTTCAAGGCTGTCTGGCTTTTTGAGCATGTCATAGTTGATGATGAACAATGCCTCCTTAGTTTAGGAATCTGGCCTCTGTAATGTGTCCTGGTGCTGCTGCCGGGTAGCAGATGCAGAAGGACACAGGTGGTGGGCCTCCTGCTCAACATACAGGATGTGTCCTGCTGCTGATAGCTTTGGGATTCTCAGTGAGGGAAGCCTGGAATAATTGGCTGAGAGAAGAAAAAGAATACAAAGATGAGATTAATGAGTGAATGAGGATGAAGTTCTTACCCGGTGGTGGGATGCCCGGGAGGCCGGGCATACCTGGCGGAAGATGGTGGGGTGGAGGCCCCCCAGGGTGAAGTGGCTGCATGCTGCCCATGCTAACAAGGCCATCAACTGGGCCCTGCAAAGGTGGAAGGCCTGGCGGATAGCCACCCATCATGCCTTGAAGGACACAACAAATTTCAGACATGCATCATTAACATGCAACATGAGCTAAGTAATAACAACCCCCACATGCACTACCAATGAATAAAGCACCTTTAGTACTGCATGATCTAACAGCAATTAGTGCAATTATTTTGTGGCAATAATGAACAAAACAAAAAGTTACAAATATGAAACCCAACATTTTGGATGAATTAGTACTTAGTAAATTATTTATAATTATTTTCAATGGGATAAATATATTGAATGTTTTCACTTAAGAGGAGTTCTAATAACAGCTTTCTCAAAGTCAGAACTACTACAAGCTGTTCAGGCAGTAACCAGTTCTGCCACCTGCAACTTCATGTGATCAGCACCCCCATCATTCCACTCTGCCCACACACATACCGCTATCACGGGCACAACTGATAGGAAACCAAATGAAGAGAAATGAGGGGCACAGTCCTGATCATAAAGCATGCTTCTCCAGCTGGGAGAAAAAATTTTTTTCAAGATTTCTTCACATGCTCCTCCTCCCTTCTAACACCACCACTGCTGGTAAGACTGGACTAAGGTAGGTTTGAGCTGAACAGCTTTTAACAACGAATGATATTTCACTTTTAGATTTCAAAATACATTAAAGAGAAATCTAAATCCTCCTAAGCCAACTAAAGCTGGGGTCATATGGAAGCCTACATGCAGCAGGCATTAAGGAGGAATGGCTGGAGAATCAGGCTTTGCTGACAGGACGAAATGCCCACTGTCATCACTGTCTCCAGGCTCACACATGTCCTCACATAAGCCTTTAGTTGATAGGGGGTGTTTTAACTGAGGTACAGAATTCCTACGAACAGGTGCTTTTGTTCCTTTATTTTCCAAGCATACCTTCATATAACAAAACATCTTCTGCTGGCTAGGGAAGTGTTGCAGTAAACAAGCATTTTGGAAAAGGGGTAAAAGTAAGAAAATAATTTCAAAATGTTAAGGACTCATCTATTAAAAAATAAAACAAAACACCCCTTTAAAACCACACAGCATTTTCTCCCTGGAGTACAGTCAATTTTAGGCATAGTTTCTCACAAAGGGAGGGCTAGGGGCCTAGTACCAAACCTTATTTTTATAAAACACGCTTTGAAGAGAATTTCACTGATTTATTTATTTTTTTTGAAGAATTATTTAAACCCATTTATTTGTACAAGTTTAGTCTTTTAAAGCGATTAATATACTGAACATCCTGGAGGCTGACTCACCTTATTTTCTTAGTCAAATCTAAACTGGTTAGAAAAACTTACAACCGCACAAAACAAATCTGAAATATTTTTATACATAAAGTAGGATGCACTTCATATTGTTAATGAGTTCAAGGTAAAAACTACTTTGAATAGATGCCATCACCGTAGACATGATGAGATCCAGTGTTGCCATACTGCCCTTTCAACACACCACCAGGTACAGCTTTTAAGGATAAGAAGGTGAGAAACTGAAGAATGTTAGGAGGCTTTGCTTTCAATTACAAAAGCCCATCTGAACGCAGCCTTCACAGGCTGTGGTTGAAGATTAAATTATTAAGAACTGAAAGACATGACACTTGTCTTCATTAAACTGTACTTCAGCATTTATTATCCCAGTCACATGTGTTCAAATGAGCTTCAATGCTTGTAAGCAAAGCTGGTCTCAGACAACAAGAACCCTATGACTCAGGCCCTAAGCAACCTGTTAAGTCCATGAAAAATCATCCTCTTAGCTGCAAACTTCTCACTGTGGACCAAAGGCTTTTTACTGTAGACCATGTTTGTCCTTCACTCCATGGCCCAGAAGCCTGGGCAACACACCTTCAGTAACAGAGCAGTGGTTTTCTATAGGCCCACCTTCCTCAACCACAGAACTAAATGATGCTATTCCCCAACAGGGAGCTAAAATGCTGCAGCTGCTGTTTTTTTGTTTGTAGCTATTTTTATTCATTTTGTTAATGTGCCCCTGGGTTTTGTAGTCAAGGGCATAATGCCGCAATATCACACATCAAATAGAACAAAATAGGATGTCATTGAGGGAATTCTAACTTTCAAAGTCCCCATGTTCAAGACCTAATTTCTGAAAACCTCTGGAACCCCATTAACCAAAATGGGCCATGGAATAGAGCAGGCGATTATGAGATTTGTTAGATCAACATCAGTTACACTGAAAGTACTGAAAGCCATGATTCAGTTGGAGAGTGCAACTGCTGAGTTCAGCGACAGTGCATTTGAGAACTTGCCATCACAAAAGTTAGGAGCGACAATGGAAAAGTTATCCTATGCACTCTTCCTTTAAAAGCAGAAAAAAAAAAAAAGGCAAAAATGAAAACAGCAAAAACAAAAGGGCAAAAACAAAAACAGCATCCCAACAAAGCTGCCTTGAACAATACTGTCTGGGACTCTCCTGCAACAGTTCAGACTCCTGTTTAAGAAGAAACACAGGTGGTTTGGACAGATTTCCCCAGACCTGGAGAGGTAACAAAGGAAGGGCCTGAGAGGTGGTCTGCAGGCCTCTTGTGGAGACATGTCAGACAAGCTTGCAATTCAACAGTAGTCAAATTTGCTAAGGCTACCACAACCAGAGACAACACACACATGCAAACCACATTCACCATTTTCTTTTCCTTTTTTCTTTTGTTTCATTTGTTTTGTTTGTTTAAATATGTGACTGGGATACTAACAGAAAATGCAGTTTAATGTAATTAAATAGAAAAGCATTACAGAGTGGGCACAATGAATTGAATGAGGACTTTCTTTTTCCTATTTAGCAGTCATGCACATTGGTGACCAGGAAAGGATTTAAATTCATTGTCAAAAATCCTTTTAAATGGTCAGTCTTTTAAGGATGGCTGCAGCAGAACAAGGCAAATTGAATACTGGCACAAGACAGAAAATGAATACCACCTAAAGACTGCTTTTGGGTTTTTTTCTTGGGAGTTCCTCTAGGGCAGAACTCAGGGTCTATTTATGTTTTCCGCTGTAGTGCTCTATCAAGAGCAGTCTGGGGTAAGAACATTGCCAGACCATGCCCACAGCCAGGAAAGAGCTGCTATCTACCAATAGCCAGGTGGTGCCCAGGGCCCACTTGGGGGCAGAGAAGAGGCATTGCCTGTATGGGAAAGGCAATACAGGATAGCATGGATGACTTCAATCTGTGAATCTGTCATGAGAAAAGGCTATAGACTGTGGCCTACTCCTCTTGGAGAAAAAAAAAATGAAGGAATTTCTTAAAGTGGAAAAAAATGGTCTTAGCTCCTGTTTTTACCTGCAACAGGTGTCAACTGCTGATTGAGCATCCCCATTGGTGTTGGTGGTGGCACCACCCCCATGAGAGCCCCCACAGGGGTGCCTGCTCGGGGAGAAGCACTCGGCTGCTGTTGCTGTGCTGCTCGCTCTCTCTCCTGCTGCTCAGCAACTTTAGCTGCCCGCTCTGTAAAGGCATTTCAGATTTTCAATTCTGTTTTTAACCCAGGAATTCAAAATACCATCCATTGCATTCAACAGGACTAGTAAAAACACAGGCAACAGTTCTGTCTCAATGGAAAGAACAGTAGATGACTAGTCTCAACACAGGAGGAATTGGGCCAATTTCACTTAGTAACCCTAGAATCCAGCTTTCCTGAACTGGTCTGCAAAAATTTCAAGAATGTTAAGACTGCAACACACATTCAGAAAGCAAAGTTTCATTGAAACACATCACCAGCGTAACTACCATGGTTAATTTCATGAGGCACCCTGAAGATGAGGAGCACTACCATTATTCTAGTATTAATAGCATTACAGATTATAATTTCAACATGAAGCAATTCCATGGCCCATTATAATTTTTGGCACAATTGTTACTTACTCTAATTCCTGATTCCTTGTACCCAATTTTACTAAAATTTGAGGACTCTTATCATTAATATCACAAGTTTAGCAGCTGAAGAAAATTAACTCTGTAAGGGAAAAGTAGCTTACTACCTTAAGATTTTAGGAAAAGGAAACAGCAAGTTTCTATATTCTAATGAAGTAAAGAAAGAGGTCATGTTTAATAAACCCCAAGGGGAGGAAATACATTATATGCCAGACTACAATCATCAGAAGTAGGAAACTAATACATACACGTATGTAGCAATGGACAATGTTTTGAAAGAACCAGGTTCCCTGAAGCTGAGTTGAAAACTGACCATAAATCTCCTATATCAGCAAGAATTCCAGATCTATTTCACTTGCACCTGAAATGCAAGAGGAGCACATGTCTTTGGAATCTCTGGGCTGTTAACTGATAGCCCCTCACTCCCCTGGGCTACTCGGCATCTCCAGAGCCAGCAACCTCAACAGTCATATTCCTAGGAGGGTGGACCCTTAGGTTTAGGGATATTCCCAAAGCTCCCACCATACAGAGTTTATTCTGTTTACTAGCAATAAATAGGAAGTCCCTCCCTCTCTTCAGATGGGCAAATAGAAGTTGGGTTCAGGCAGTAACTTGCCCAAATATACAGGGAAACCATCAACCTATGGCTCTGATACCATGATGTCATACTCCGACTTCCACAAATTACTCCAACATGGAATTCAAAAGGCTACAACTATCTGAAGAGGGGGAAACCAACTTGAGGTTACATGGCTTTAAAGAGACTCAAGAAGCAACAGCTCCAGTCCTTTAAGGAAAAAGTCAGGCAAGTCAAAGGCCACTTTGCTGTGCTGGAGCTGCCTGCAGACACTTACCATCACTCATTGGCACTACCCCAGCTTACACACCCTCTGTAAGTATGACGACGACTATGAGGGACAAAATTCATTTTTACAACCTACTTTTTCTGAGCTAGTAGAAAAAACCACTGGTGGAAGCTGGAGAGATGGCTCAGAGGTTAAGAACACTGGCTGGTCTTGCAAAAAAAACAGGGGTTCGGTTCCTAGCACCCACATGGTGGCTAACAACGCCAGTTCCAGGGGATCTGACGCTCTCTTCTGGCTTCCATGGGTACTGTACGAAACGGGTGCACTTAACATCTATGCAGGCAAAACACTCATAAGAAAAATAAATAATAAATGAGAGATGGCTCAGAGGTTAAGAACACTGGCTGGTCTTGCAAAAAAAACAGGGGTTCGGTTCCTAGCACCCACATGGTGGCTAACAACGCCAGTTCCAGGGGATCTGACGCTCTCTTCTGGCTTCCATGGGTACTGTACGAAACGGGTGCACTTAACATCTATGCAGGCAAAACACTCATAAGAAAAATAAATAATAAATAAATAAATAAATAAATAAATAAATAAATACACTGGTGATCTATACCCCACAAGTTAAATTCTAGCATTTTCATTACATGACTGACAATAAAACTGGGAGGGAAAAAGAAAAGTTGAATTTAGAAAACAGAAAAGCTCAGGTGTGTGGATCAAATACTAGTTCTTCCTAGGAGAACTTCAACTGGGCTCTTCTAGAAGTCAGAATTATTATAACTAAGCCAGTCAAATTCCTAACTTTGGGTTTTGAAAAAGTGAGCAAGTTCAGAGTTTTAGGCTGTTGAGTCATGTAACTTCCCCTCACCGGTTCTTTCTAATTACAGATGTCTCACTGAATATGGGTCAACTTCCTAAGTCCCATCTCTTCTTCCCTCGAGCCATGCTCCAGTTTTTCTGTCTCTAGATCTCCAGTTTTCATACTGTCTCTAGATCTCTCTGTCCTATTCACACTCTAAATAACCAGTCACCCAGTACTAGCTTTGTTTATCTGGAAACAGGCTTACACCATGTTAGCTTAATTTCTTAGACAACAGTACTCCTACTAAGCAGTATATTTGGACTTAATTTGCAGTAAATTCTGAAATATCAAAGTGCCCCAGAGTTCTAGGTTCTTATGGAACTGATTAGGAGTTCTCAAAGAATGCTCTACAAAAATAGTTTTCCAGGATATTAATAGATATTACATAAATACCTGGTTAAATTTCAGAAAATGCCAGATAATAAAAAACAGGTTCTTTATTGTAGGTCTTAAGAGACTTTAACATGGGACTATGCACTGTAAGATCCCAAGACAGAGTTTGGAATGCTTCTGAAACTGGTTTTGCCACAAAATATTTCTTGGCTGAGCATCTTGCAGAAGATCCTTAAGGAAACCTGTCAGATAATTTTATAATAATCAATAGTAACAAATGAAAGGAATACAACTTAAAAAAATACTTTGGAGAACTTCATAAACTTAATAAAGGAGCAGCCTTAATCATGTATGCTTGATGGAAAATAATAGCCAAGAAGACTATTGGGCACTACAGAGAAGATGGCTCTAAACAGGCTAAATGATCCAACACAGAAAATTCCAAAATGGGTAAAATACAGCTCAAAGGGCAAAAGTCCTAATGTAATGCTTACACACATTTCTTTACTAAAGCCATGCCTAACATTAACAAGAACAACGAAAGATCCAAACCACCAAAAATCTCTTAAGAATTTATCCTTTACAACTAAGAACCACCAAATCTTTGAGTAATACCTCATGGCCCAAAGTGATTTAATCATAGAGACAGCACAGGCCAGGACTGGCCTAGGAAACCTGGAATTTCAAGCTTCAACCTAGAGTTTACACATATGGCTTATCAAGAGCCATAGCAGAAAATCACCAATTTTAAAGGGCCACTTCCAGGTGAATTTTAGTCACAACTACAGTTAACAATATTGAACAATCATTCCCCAGCTCAACATACGTGTGCTCACAGGGCACAATGAAAGAAAATCATGCAATTTTTAATAGCAAAAAATTTTTGTTTGAGAAATTTGAGGGGAGGGGATACAACACTAGGATCTGAGGCCAAGTAAGGGGCAGCACTCTACGTACTGGCACCTAAACTTGCTGGTTGGGTGTCATCTGGAATAATCCCCAATACCAAATTCATGTGCATGTGGTAAGAAGAGAGTCAAACTTGTCTATGCATGTGCATTCCTGAAAACACTCCTCTCTTAAGAAAGCAGATTGTTGTGCCTAGTTTCTATTTACCTTCATATTCTGCTTTCTTGGCTGTCTCAAGGTTTCTCCATTCTGTCCCCACCAGTCGGCTGAGCTCACCAAAAGAGTAGTCTGGGTGCTGGGCTTTAATCACAGCTCTCATCTCACTGCTGAACAGGATGTAGCCACTCATGTTGATTTTCCGTTTGGAACCTTCTTTCTTTGCACTACCTTTGGTAGACTTTGGGGTAGACTGTAAGACAGAAAGCTCTTATAGGGCATCAGAAAACTACAGGTGGTTAACTGCAGTTTCTGGAGGCCAAGACCATATGACTTAATAATTAATGTTTTATAGACATACTTAGTTTGTAGCTGTTGTTTTTCTTGGTCAAAATATACCTCTTCCTTGCCTTGCAAGAAATACATGAAAATTTTACTGAATTTCATGACTGTAGTTTATAACAATGACCTCATAATTTAGTCTGAGAAAATTCTAAATTAGAAAAATATACAATAGGGATCATCTCAACCAAGAGATGAAGTCCTAAGGAAGGAAAAATGAAAAGAACAGGCATCCAGGTGTGGTGGTATACACCTGTGATCCTATTACTGGGGAGGTAGAGGTGAAGACAGGAGGATGACATGTGTTCTCTCAAAAAGGCATGGGCAATGAAAAGGAAGAAGTGATGAGTGACAGTACTATGCCATTCCTTACTACTTTTCTTCAATAAAAGACAAGAAATACCTTCTAACTAAACTGCTACTAAATAAGCTCTATGAAACTTAAAAGAGAAATTATTGGCTTCATGACATTATACACATTTTTTTGTCAATTAAAGCAGAATTCTACATAAAAGCTTACATACGAGAAGGTTATGGGGATACACATTTGAGAAACTGAGGCAGGAGGATGAGGAGTTCAAGTCCAGCCTTGATTACAGAGCAAGTTCAAGACCAGCCTGGATTACATGAGAACTTGTCTCAAAAACAAACAAATAAACGAAAACAAATGCTGACATACACAGGGACTGTTGTCTCCTATTTGGGTGTGAGCCTCCTGCAGACAAAAGCTGAGAGCAAGACAAGCAACAGGACATGTCACCTTCACCTGTGGGGGTGTGTAGGGCATGAGGTCCAGCTCACTGGCCAAGGGAGTCTGAAGCTGAGGTAGAGAAGGAGGTTCAATGACCTCGCTATCTTCTTCTCCCATCTCTTCAATATCATCATCTCCACCTTCCAGCTCAGCAAACTTAGCTTCTAGCAATTGGATCTTCTTTTCCAACAAAGGTGAGGGCTCCTTCTGAGGAACTATGGGTTTTCTGAAAGAAGCGACATGAAAAATAAAGCCACCCAACACCACTTCCAGGACTGGTCAGAAGGCAGAACTTACCATTTAAAAATGATTTTTAACAACCTGCAACAGACACTCCAAGAGCAACTAAGGAGCTTAACTGGATTATTTATGATGTCACTTCTATTAATAAATACTTTTTAAAATTTATTTTTATTCTTTGTGTATGAGTATTATGCCTGCAGGTACATAAGTACACCTATGTTGTACACATCCCATGGAGGCCAGAAGAGGGCATCAGATCCTCTGGAACTGGAGTTACAGATGGTTGTTAGCCACCATGGAGGTGCTGGGATTCAAACTTGGGTACTCTGCAAGAACAGCTTACTCTTAACTGCTGAGTCTCTCTCCAGCCCTGATGTCACTTCTATTTAGAAAAGTTTTTGTCTTTTTGAGGTAGGGTCTCCCTGTAGCCCCAGTTGACCTAGAACTCACTGTGTAGACTAGGCTGGCCTTGAACTCACAGAGGTCTGCCTACCTCTGCCTCCCGAGTGCTGGGTCTTTCTGGGACTAAAGGCATGTGCCATCTTTTTTAAGTTTTTTATTTTTGTTTTGTTAAATTCTGATGAATATTCACAGAGGTATGTCACTTCTATTTGACTATGCACAGTGAAAAGAGTTGCTGTCATCTATGGAACGAAGCATCTACTAACAGAGGAGACCAACCACAATCAAGTATTTCTGTCTCCATTCTATAATTGCTGGCACTATCTAAGCCAAGGCACTATCAGTTATCAGGTTCTTTAACCGAATATTTTATCTTTTTCTCTCTCTGAGACAAGGTCTCACATTACAGGCCATGCCAGCTTCAAACTCAGAACACTCCTGCCTTAGTCTCCCAAGTGATCAGAGTAACCACATCCAGCTGAATTAGTATTTATTTTAGAAGTATATAATGCTATAATTTAAGATCTAATAAAACAATTCAACACATTGGGCTATATTAGTTTGATGAGTTAGCTGAAGTGCCTTTAATTTTTCAACCTTTACCTGAAGTAGTAAATTTCATCATCTACAACTTTAGCAGAGAGTGAAAACCTCTTCAATCCCTTAAATTTCTTCATCTGTTTGTCACTCTCATTATAGCGGCTCTCACAAAGGAGAATGTCATTTTCTGGTATTTCAGTTGGCCTGCAGGAGAGGAAGTCCTTGAATGACAACACAGCACATTTTCCTGAAAGAGTAAGTTGGAGATAAATTAAAGGAGTAAACTGCTGTCACAGTTAATGACTATTTAAAATTTCTATTTGTGAATGTGTACGTTTGTGTGTGTATTCATATGCATGTGCCTGTGCATATATGGATGCCAGAGAACCTTATGTGTCGTTCTTCAGGCATTGTCTTTTTTAAAATTATTTTTATTTTCTGTGTAAGAGGTATTACCTGCATGTAGGTATGCGTACCCATGTCGTGCAATGCCTGCAGAGGTCAGAAGAGGGCATCAGGTGCCCTGGAACTCGAGTTATGGATGGTTGTTAGCCACCAATGTGGGTGCTGGGGTTCAAACCCGGGTACTCTGCAAGAGCAGCCAGTGCTCTAAACTGCTGAGCCATCTCTCCAGCCCCCAGTTTCTAAATTTTAAAAAGTTCACCTTCTCTCAATTATTTGGTATGTTACCCAACTCTTGATAAATTTCCCACTTTGTTCAGTTGGTTTTGGGGCGGGGGTTGTTGTTGAGACAGGGTTTCCCTGTAGCCCTAGCTGGCATGGAACTTACTATGTATACGTAGACCAGACTGGCCTTGAACTCACAGAGCTCCTCCTGCCTCTGCCTCCCATGTGGAGGCCAGAGGACAACCCTGGGTGTTTATTCCTCAGGCACTGCTGCTCACACTGTTTTTTTTGAGACAAGGTCTCTCACTGGCCTACTTTCCAAATAGGGGAGGATGGATATGAGCTCTGGAAATTTTCACCTTGCCAGTGAAACTGTGTGCCACTATACCTGGCTTCTTTGATTTGGACTTTGGGGGTTGAACTCAGGTCCTCCAAGCACTTTATCAAATAAGCTATGTCCCCGGCTTTATTTACTTATTTATTTATTGTGGTACTAGAGATCAGGGATAGATTCTCATGTATGCTAGGCAAGTACTCCACCACTGAGCTTTTCTCTAGCCTATATAGTTTTAATTAAGGTTACGTTAGGGAGAACAGACATCTTTACAATGCTGAGACCTATTCACAGTGCAGCCTTTTCACTGCATTGAAGTAGTCTCTCAAAAGTTATTCTTGGGGCTAGAGAGATGGCTCAGGGGTTAAGAGCACTGACTGGTCTTGCAGAGGACCCGGGTTCGAGTCCCAGCACCTACATGGCGGCTTCTAACCGTCCTTAACTCCAGTTCCAGGGGAATCTGAAGCCCTCTTCTGACCTCTGCGGAATTGCGTGACACAGGTGTGCTCACATACATGCAGGCAATACACTCATACACAAAATAAAAATAAATATAATATTAAAAAAGTTATTCTCATATTGCTGTGACATGGCTTATTAAATTTATCCCAAGATAACCCAAGATATGTATTACTTGATCTTTTCTTTCCCCACCTATCTTTTTTGTAATGTTGGGAAATCAAACTCACTGCCTCATACATGTAATTATTGTATCTTTTAAGGTAAAAGACTTGTTATTTTCTATCAAACCATAGAATTGGTTGGCTCTGTAGTTCAGGTGGGCCTCAAATTCTCTGTATAGCCAAGAATGATCTCAAATTTCTGATCCTTGTGTGTCCACCTGGGATCACAAACATATGCCACCATGCCTGGTTTATGCAGTACAGTGATCTAACCCAGTGCTTTGTGTACGTTAGGCAAGTACTGTATCAACTGAGCAACATCTCCAGCCATTTTCTGTTGCTTGTCATGGCTTAGTTGATTCTGCTCAATTTTCTTCTTCTTTTTGTTGGGGGTAAGATTTTTGTTTATTCTTTGACAGTTTCATTCACTTCGATAGTGAATTCCCGTTATTTTCAGTCCCCATTCCTCTCTTTCATCCATTCATCTTGTTGAAACCCTCTTCCCAGTAAGTCCCCCTCCTACCTTCATGCTTCTTTTTGTGTATATAACCTACTCAGTTTAATTAGAGTTGCTTACACAAGTATGGGGGTGTGATTATTAACTGGAACATGGGCAAGCATTAACTTTTTTGTTGTGTAGCCCAGGCTTCATCAGAATTCACTATGAGGTCCAGGCTAGCCTTCAATTTGTTGTAATCATCTTGCCTCAGCCTCCCAAGTGCTGCGATTATAGACTTGAGCCACGATACCCATCTTCATCTCCTAAATTTCCTTCTTTTCCCTTGGAAACAGTGTTAAATAAAACTAACAAAGAAGGGGCTGGAGAGATGGCTCTGGTTAAGAGTATGTACAGTTCCTGTAGAGCAGAGGACCTGAGTTTGGTCCCCAGCACCCATGTCAGGCAGGTAACAACCACCTGTAGCTCCAGCTTCAGGGGATCTGATGCTTTTCTGGATCTGCAGTCAGCTGCACTCACACATGTACACACACATACACACACACACACACACACACACACACACATACACACAAATTAAAAATCTTCAATAAGTGATAGGAAGGCTTGGGGTATATCTCAGTAGGTGAGTACTTGCCTACCATGCACAAAGCCATGGGCTGGCAAGATGGCTCTGTGGATAAGAGGCACCTGCTGTCTAGCCTGACAACTTGAGTTCAATCTCCAGGACCCACATGGTAGAAGGGAAAACCAACTCCCACAAGTTGTCCTCTGACCTCCACACACATGCTGTGACACCTATACGCTGCCCCCTAAACACACACACACACAAACACACACACTGTCTAGGTTAAGAACGGCCTGGTTTTGCTATTGATCATTCCTAGGAATGTTCATTGCTAACAACTATTTAATTTTTACATTCAAAACAAGTCAAACATTTTACAGCTTAAAACAGTTATCATTCCTATTACTGCCTCAGACAAGAAAAAATTAGAGACATGGAAATGGTAAAAATCCTTTCCAGAGCTAAGGAGTCAGGAGACAGGGATAGAGCTCAGCTGGTAGAGTCCTTGGCTAGCATGCACAACTGAGTATGATAACATACACCTGTAATCCCAAAACTGGGGAGGTGGAGGCAAGAGGATCAAAGTTCAAGGTCATTCTCAGCTACATATTGAGTTTGAGCCCAACCTGGGCTATAGACTATCAAAAGAACACAAAAGACCAAATAAACAATAATAAAGTGGTAAGTGGCCCTGAAATAAATGTGGTGTCTCTGTGATTTGACTTGGTTTCTTACTAGAACCCCCGAAGTCTTCATTTTATTTAATAAATAAAATTTTTCTTTAAAAGCTGTGGGATATTTATTAGTTACAATGAACTTATAGATCAATTTTGGAGAATGGACATCTCTAATAATACAGAGTTCTTCCTTTATAAATATAATGTATCACTTTCATTTATTTGGGTCTTCTATAATTTGTGCAAAAAATTTTCTTATAGTGGTATGTGTACAGATGTCTTATATACATTTTTATATTTATTTGTTTAGAGGCAGTCTTGTTATGTGGTTCTGGCTAGCCTGGAAATTGCAGTGTTCCCCAGTCTCTGCGTTCCAAGTACTAGGATCATAAACATGCACTACTACACCTGGCCTTTCACATGTCTTTTCAAAGATTCCTAGGTATTGAATGTAAATGGTATATTCTTCTAATTGCTTACTAATAACATACAGAAATACAACTATCTTGATATTTTCATGTATTTACTATAATAGTTTATCAGATTATCTCTTGGATCTTCTCTGTACCTACGAATTTTTTTCAAATTTTTTTCAAATTTTAAATCTTTCATTTTTCTTGCATTACTGAAGCAGTTTTTCAACTGGTAAAGCATTAAGTAAGTTTACAATGAAGGAAACAATCTCCAAAGACATTAGGAACTAGATTTACAGCAGGCTATAGTCCTGGTGGCTAAGGGTGGAGGTGCTTTTTCTGCCAGGTATGGTTATGTTCATTCCCAAAAGTAACTTCTCTATGTTAAATGACTGAGGGAAGCTTTTCTCAGAGGTGAATGAAGAACACAGGCATCAACAGGAAATCAGACCTCCTAATTAAAATACGCCTACCAGGTTTACTTAATATCTTTAAATCCTGTTTCAGAAAGGTGACAAAAAAACTCAAAAAACAAACACAAAAGCAAGATTTACATCCAACAACGATAATACAAATCCTATCAAGTTGATGGGATAAAGTCCTTTGGTGATTGGTGCATACTGATCTGTGAAAAACTGGGGCAGCAGCCGGGTGTGGTAGCGCACACCAATTCCAGCACTCAGGAGGCAGAGGCAGGATGATCTCTGTGAGTTCAAGGCCAGCCTGGTCTACATAGTGAGTTCCAGGATAGCTGCAGCTACAGGGAGACCCTGTCTCAAAAAGACAAAACAAAAAAAAACCCCAAAAAAACCCCCCCAAAACTGGGGCTGAAATGTCACTTTGTGACCACTAAGTGGGGTTTATCTCAAGATGAAGGAACTATGTCCTTGTTTAATGTTGCAGCACTTCAGTGTGAGTATGCACGCACACACACATGTGCCCTGGCTGGCTGTAAACCAGCTAATGGCACTGATTCAGAAGTGAGAGAACCCAAGTTTTAGTTCTGACCCATTTCTTGGGCAGTGATTTCATTTTTCTGAAAATACTACCATCTTACATGGTCATTTTGGGAACTAAGTAAGATTCTGGATATAGATATGGTTTATAAACCGTATGAGGCATCACATTCTAACAGACATCTTTACAAAAGAATTATTCAAGCTACATAAGCGAAAACAGTTGTATAGGGAGCTCCAAAGGCCATTTATTCACAAAGGTACCAAGAAAAGCTGGAAAAACCTGGTTAAAAAAAAAAAAAAATCAGACTACTATCCTCAGGCCTCTTGGGATAAGTCTACAGCGCAGCTCTCCGCGCCGGGACTCCCTAAGCCTCATTCACCCTTCCACCCCACCCACCACCCCCCTGCCCCCCCGCCTGGCATTCTATACTCTAGCTTGGACCCTGTGCCATTCCTAGTCTTGGGGCCCCAGACACCTGGGGAACCAATACTGTTTCCTGATCCTTCTCAC